AAATAAATTTTGTGCAAAAAGGACTGGAAAAATGAACTGTATTATTGCAATTTTTTTTGTAAAAGTAGCAGTTTGGTATGAGTTGGCATGCATACAAGATTTACTAAGTGGGATAAGCTAATTATACTTTTTGTTGTGGATAAACAAATGCTTGTTGATAGCCTTTTTCTATCAAGAAACCAAGGAGCTAATTATTAATAACAATCATTGCACACTGAGTCTTAGCGTTTCTGACGGAAACAGTTTGGATTGTATAATAACGCCAAGCCCAGTTGTAGTCGTTTGAGTGCAGTAATGAAATCTGAATCTAAAATAAAAACAAGATTATTTTTGTCATGCTGACTCCACTGCTTGAAAAATTTGTTTACTGCCCCCCAAATTTTTAATGATTAATGCAGTAAATATAAGAATTAATTTTAGCTCCCTGAACCATGTATATATTTGAAAATTTTAACCACAAAGTAAATTATTTAATAATAACCACTGATTTCTTTAAGCTGACTTAATGAACTCCTAATATCAGCAAATTTGAGGCCTAAAGGCACTAAACCAACTGTAGACTCAGAATAACATCCAACAGAATTACTCATCTAGTATCAGTGAAATTATTCTTGCACATAATGGTAAACCTAACTACAAAGTTAAGTCTTTTACTAAGGATGTTACCTAGGATGAGCAGTATGTGTTTATTAGGAAATTAACCACATGAGTTGAAGAGACCAGACTTCAAAATCTAATTTTTATAAATATGCTCTATGTTCTCATTGGATAAAACTGGTTATTAACCAATTTTCCAGAACAGCTGTACAGAATTTCTGCATGGCAGCCAGCTAAATGGTACAAAATAACATGTTTAAGCTGGAATAGCTTATAATTTTATTTAAATAAAATTGCTACTATAAAAAGTGCTTCCCAAAGCTAAGGAAAATATACAAATATTTTAATTAAGGCAAATTCGTTTTAAAAAATAAAGCCTTTGAGCAGTGATTGCTTTGTAAACAAAGGATGGGTGGGAGAAGAGTGCCTTAAACTCAAGTCTGATAGTCAGGCCCAACTCACCCTATAAACCCGCTCTGAGCAATTCTATTTTCTGTACGAAAAGAGAAACCAGCTGTGGGCTGGCTTTACTAGGTGACGTGTGATTGACTGACTCACCTGCAGGAGCAGCAAGGCGCACTCTCACCTTTTGTTTATGGGGCCTTGTTTCTGAACACGTGGATGCGCAGAAAGAGCCAGGCGGAGCAGCCCACCAAAGCCTTCGCTCCTCCAGCGCTCGCCACCCCACCCCACCCGCCCCACCACCCCACCCGCCACCCACCCACCCCCGCCCATCCCCACCCACCCCCACCCCCACAGAGGGGATGGTTTAAATTTCCCATTTTGACCCAGAGGCAATTCTTCGTCTACAGAAGTAGAAGTTCCTATTAGTGAAATCATTCTCTTTTCATAGGTGGTTACTAGCAGTTAATAACCATTTATTTACTTTTTAAATTAATGATAAACTTTATAAATTAACCGTCCACTTGCTCCTTCTCCCCAGTACATGCCGGGGGAGCTGGGTATTTTCAGCCTTTATTCTGGAGGAGGCTCAGGCCGTGGGGAGGGAAATAATGGGGGTGCAGTGGGGGAGAGAGAGAAAGAAGCTAGGGAGGGGGAAGAGTACTAGTAATAGTTAGGAATATGGTGACTATGAAGAATTCAGATCATTAGTGTCCAGGAATTAGAAAAAATAAAAAACAAACTGTTGTTTCCTTGCGTTCCCCTCTCGGAGTGATGATGACGGGAGGGCCTGGCTCTTCGCAGTTCCTTTCTTCCCCTGCCTCGACACCCTCCCCTTAATGCTATTTAGCTTTTCCTCTTATAAATTTCAGAGCCAGCTCCAGGGTTATTGAGGACACTTACCCGAAAGAGGGAAATAATAGAGGTGCTGAGAGTGTTTTAAAAGGCAAAAAAAACAAAACGCCTCCTCTAAACAAGGGCACCCAATTGTACCTGCTTTTTAGTTTTATTTTTCTGGGTGGTGGTGGTGGTGGGGGACTGACTGGGACTACTTGAGTATAATTTAAGTATTTTTTCCCCCAAAATTAAAAAATACTTTCCCTTATCATATTTAATCAGCTGTAATTATAACACATTCAAAATGAATAATATGCCTTGACAGTATTTTTATTGTTATTGTTCATTGCATGATGTTCGACTGCTTTAGAAGCACAGGAAAGAGAAGTAAACGCGCTACAAATGGGGAATTACCCTCGTTTAGCATTAAAATTCATTTAGATAAAATTGCCACAAACATTTAAATGGGAAGATTAGTTCCCCCTCACGCCTTATTGCACTCGCTCAATGGTTCCGTTAAGAACATTTTACACGTTGGAAATTCCGTCTTCTCAGACGGCTTGCTGTTCTAGTTACCACATTCAAAGCAAAGGCAGCCGCAAAGGCAGCCGCGGCAGCAGCAGCAGCAGGAAAAAAAAAAAAAAAGTTTTGGCAACTGGTCTGCAATTCATCCGCTGCTCGCCCCAGCCTCCCCTCCGCCCCTGCAGTCCCCCCAGCCGTCACCCTTTCCACCCCCCACCTCTGTCCCCTCGTTATGTCATTTGCAGAGTACAGTCCTCGAGGAAACAAGTTGCTTAGTTGTCTGGTATTTATGTGTCATGTTAAAATACAAAGAAATATTTAAAAAAAAAAAACAAAAACGGTTCCTCTCTGGGTCTCCCTCTTCCCCTTCTGTTCTGAATTGAGGGTTTAAGTTTGAATGTGCTGAGTTTCTCACATCCCCTACCCTGAGGCCACAAGGCACGTTTTTTGGCTTTCTTCTCTGCCAGGACTTTTCCAGGAAATCCACCACTGCTTCTTGCTTGTATTAGAAACGTGTGAAAGAATTAGTTTGAAAAGTCCATGCAACGTCTAGGGGAGGGAGCTTTTCCCTCCCCTTTTTCCTTGCCTCCCCCTCTCTCCTTCTCCCCCTCTCCCCCCACCGGCCTGCTCCCATCCCCCTCCTCCTATCCCCCCTCTCTCCCCCTCCCTTCGCAGAGCCGCTGGAAAAGAGGAAAGTCGGCTTCGACTGCCATCTTTTGGGGATTTGGAAAAACGACTCGGTAGGAAACGGAGGGAGGCGGAGGCGCGCGGGGTGGGGGGAAACCCCCTTATTATCCTGTGTCGGAACTGGCTCCCTTAATCTGATGCTTAAATATTTGATGTGGAAAAATTACCCATAAAATTAGTTACTAACAATTTCAAATTGAAATCACTTATCGAATTATAAACGCATTAAAGCTGTATGGATGGTATTAGGAGTTCCTCGGGAGGCAGCGGGTGTCTCCTTGCGCTGAGCCGGGCCGGCGAGTGTCGCCCCGGGGAGAGGCGGCCCCGCGGAGCCCGGGGGAGGCCGGGAGGCGGCGCGGCAGCCCGGGCGCTGGGTCCCGGCCGCAGCCACCGAGCGGGCGGCCAGGCCCCGGCGGAGGCTCCGGCGGGTCCGGCCGGCGGGGGCGAGGGGAAAGGAGGGGAAGGAGCCGCGGTGGGAAGCTCGGACCCCGGGGCAGAGGCGCCTACCAGGAAAACTTGGTAGTGAAGTCGAAAGAGTCTACAAAGAAAGAAGCCAAGCCCTGCCCGCCCCTCCCGCCCGCGTCTCCCACGCGGCGCGCAGACTTTGCGCTCCACTTTGCGCTCGCGGTTGGTTGCTGTGTGCAGCGCCCCCCAAGTCTGCCGCTGGGAGCGGGAGGGGACATGCTCCGGTCCTGGGGCTGGGCCGGGCTCGGTGCCGAGAGAGAAATCCCGCGGGCCGCTTCGCGGAGCTCTGGTCTGGACGCAGCTACCCGCGTGGGTCCTGCGGTGCGCGGGGTCCCGGCCTAGGCTCCGTGCGTGGGCGGGCAGGTCCTCGCCCCGAGCCCAGAGCACCTGGGGGGCTGCTGGAACTCGGGCAGTAGCCTCCTATGCCCTCCCCAACCCCACCTGAAAGCCAAGTCTGAGGGACTGTTGACTGTTTCTGATGATGAGGCGACCAGGGGTCTACACCGAAGGTTGCGGGAGGCAACTCGCCGTAGCTGGGGGATCTGGGCCTCCTTCCCTCGGAACGGCCCAAGGTACTTTGTGGAGGACTGGAGGCTTTCTGATGGGCTCTGCCACATCGGGGGCTCGGACCCCTGAGACCCACGGTGACTCCCAAGAGCTTGGGGACCGGAGAGCCAACGACACCCGGGACCGGGGCGGGGCCCACCAGGAGGGCGGCGAGTGCCAGAGTCTGGAACCGCAGCGGGGGAGCCGTGGGCAGCATCTCGACGCCTTAGGCGGGAGCTCCTCTGGATCACTTTAAAAGCTCTGCAAACTTTCTCCTGCCTTTCGGATCCCGGCAGGCCCTCGGCCCTAGTGAAGGCAGTAAAAACACGACTTGATGCAAAGCTCCCGGGTAGGCGCTTGGACGCCGGCTGGAGAGGCGTGGAATTGGGTAGTGGGGCGCCCTGCCTGGCCGGGCTTTTCTCCTTCTCACCCACCCCCATCCATGTCACCCCGCACCCATTGGCTGTTTGGCAGCCCATAGCTCTTGGGGCGGCCGCGGCGCAGTCTACAGGAGGCTGGGAATCCCAGGACCAAGGGAAAGAGCCGCGAAGGAGAGAGGGTGGGGGGTCGGGGGCCTGAGCTGGGCAGCTGATGGCAGGAGGGGGAGGGTTCCCTTTTCGGCCTAATCTGCCCGCCAACGCGTCTGAAACCTTCTCTCCCGAGGCGGAGCTGAAAGGAAAAACAAACAACGTATTGAGCAATCAGTTCGTCAACGTTTGAGCTTTAAAGAGCCTTTTGCCCTGAAAATGGTACCCTGGGGGTCTCGGTGGGGCGATGCGGCGAAGCATTTTTACCGCCTAGGTTCTGGCTGGGCGCGCCCCGGGGTTGCCCCTCTGCGCGCTGCCGCCAGCCCTCCCGGCGCGCTCAGCCCACTGCGGGGAAGCCCGGGCGGTGAAGCCCTGGAGAAAAGGGATTTAGTTTTAAGCCAGTCTCCCATCGATCGCGTCGGTCATTTCTACCCCTGCCCACTCGCAGACACACTCACCTCTACCCTAAAGCATTAAGTTCATTACGCGAGCAATGATCTTAATCTCCAGGCGGAAAACGAGTCCCGGGACCTTGTCGACTGGGGAAGCAGTGAATAAAGTCACCTGCTTCACGCACCCGCCCGGCCCGCTCCTCCGCGTGGGGGCCGCGCGTGGCAGGGAGTGCTGCGCCAGGCTCCACGCCGGGGCGTGCCGGGCGGGGATCTGGAACCCAGTCTCTGCTTTCTCCCGGCTGGCGACCTCCTGGAAGGGTGGGATGGCGCTCGCTCGCTGTCCTTCTCCCCTCCCTTTCTTCCTAGGCCTCCCTCGCACCTCAGCACTTTCTTTCTCCTCCCCTCCCCCAGAGTGGCAAGTGCCCCTTCTCCACTGAGTGTCCCGAGGTTCTGCCCCTCTCCCAGCCCCCAGCAACCTCAAGTTCCGCGCCGAAGTCCGGTAACCCATCGCCTGTTTGCGCCCACCTACCTCACCCACCTCTCTGGACGTGGGTGGGTGGGGGGTCGCTCAGCGAGGCCCTCTTGAACCCACTTACTGAGGGCACCCTGGGGCTTTAAAGAACCAGATGTCTTGACTTAGGGGAGATCGCTGTGCCCACTGATAACTCCATGCTAAAGAAACCCAGCACAGCGGCAAACACCTCTAGCAGCCGCCTGCTCCCCATCCCCCCCTTGGCACGGAGCAGCGTCTGGCACCGCGGGGAGATGGAGGCGAGCCACGCGCACCCGTCCCCTTGCTGGCCGACCCGCGAGGCGCCAGCTTGTTCTGGAGACTCAGTTTCCACTGGACAAAAGCAGGGAAAACACAACGCAATGGCTGTGTAAATCCACGTTCCCAACACCCCTCCACCCCACCCCAATCTGATTTTGGAGACTTGCATTTTCAGGTAGTCCTAAACTGTGAACAGCGAGCTTTGTGTGTTATCTAGTGGGGGTGGGGATATAAGGGGAGGAGACTCCCACTGCCCGCTCCAGTCTTTAATGTCTGAAATAACGAAATGCCTGTGTAGCAGCTGCTGCTAGAGCCAAAACTAACTCTTTGGAAGACGGAAAAGAGTGAAAGGCAAAGAAAGACTGTTCATTTTTTTTCCTTTGGTGCCGTTTGGGATGTCATCTGTTTCCTTGGCGACTGTGTTCAGCCCCCGGAGCCCCTGGGCTCCTGGATTGTTAGGGGGGAAAAAGCATGCTATTTCTGCACCGTCATTTATCACTGTCACCGCATAATGATTCCCCTTGCAGCCCCTTATTGATGTTTGTAATTGCATTATCTCATAAAGGAGGATGATCAATGAAACCGAGCCGTGCATTCTGGGGTCAGAGGAAGCCAAAGTACTGTTTGTCCCCTTTAATACAACAAGTACTCATTATCTTCGGGTCTGCATTCAAAAAATGATCTGATCTAGGGCTGACCCTGTCGGACATCCCAACACTTTCTAAAACGCGGTTTGTGTAACCTTTTGCTTAAATGCTAAATCAAGTACCTGTCTTGCATTTCAAGATGCTAAAACTGAATGAGAAAAGCATTTATTCTTTTCTTTTCCTTTTCTTTTTTCTGGGAGGGGTGCGATCCTCCGAAGACGAAGGCGCACGAGATTTTACACTGTACACTGACTCAGTGATATAATATAGAAAAAGCAGCCCCCATCAACAAGAAACCTAATAAATGAAAAAATTGGGGACGAGGGGATAAAAGGTAGCTGGGAGCTTTTAACAAGGTCGTACAAAAAGAGCAGAATAAAACCACATCCTCTTTAATTAATAAGAGCTATAAACTGAAATAATTCCCCATGATTCTGCCCTTGCTTCTCCCTTTTACAGAGTCATATCTCTCCGGTTTAGATAAATGACTTTTGTGCCTGTTCGATTCTCACAACAACAATAACTAAATCAGTTGCACACTCTGTATCTAAAACCATCTACAAACTCCAGCAAATAAAAAGAAGTTCATTTGTCTATTAAGGCAAGTATTTAGTTGAGCAGAAATGTCCCAGTAACACTGAATGGAGTTCATGTAATCCCATGAAAATCAAGTCATCTTGTTGCACTGAAGTAAATGAAAAAATACAAAGGAGAAAAGGTCCAAGTGTAATTTTAAACTAAATGCATTATTGGACTGTCACAGTGAAAACGTGATTGCTTGGCTGGGAATGGGGGGGAGTGGACATCAACTTAGCTTACATTTAACTTAAAGGTTTTAGAAAGGAAACATATATTACAGATTTGGTTATCATTTTAATTTGTGGAAAGAGAAGACATTGAGACAATTGCAATTCATCATTTTGGTAAATTAGGGGGCATAACTCCTCCAAAGGCAAAATTAAGCAAAAAGTTTATTTTAAATATTGCAAGGCTGTATTACCAAAAAAGAAAAGTTTCCAGTTTTCTAAAAATAAATTCCCTTTATATTAACAAGACGACCCCCCAAAGGAAAGAAAAGATTAAGTCCAGGTATTTTATTTTAAAAGTTCTAAAAATTTCTAAATTAACAATATAATTTAATGTTTTATATAAAAAGATTTAAATGAAAATCTTTGGCCATAGTTGAGAAAATGAGTACTTAAATAGAGCGCCCCGATAATTTGACACCTTGACATAAAACCTTAAATTGAATAACAAAATAAAGGGCTTAAAACATTCCTTCTTGGAAAAAGAACTTTAATAATAAGGCTTAAAAAGTTTTAACTGTGTTGAACCATTACTTAATTTTTCTCTAGAAGGCAGATTCTTCTAAAAAGTATCATTTGCCAGAAATTCTGTCAAGGCTCTTAGAAATAATATATGTTTTTTATTATTTAAATATTCTGGCACTTTCATTTTTTGAAAATGCTCAACTGAAATGGAGATGCAGCCATGCATATATTTAATATAAATAGTATCTTGTTGTTAACATAAAATATTAAAGGGAAAATAAAACTTTGGGCTTTGTCAGTTAAGATAGAATTTTTTAGCATAATACTCTGATTTTCAAAACATACAATTGAAACCCCTTGAATTTAACCAATCAACGCAAGTCTTTCTCTTATTTGGTTGGGAATCTGGCATCATGTACATTTTCTATTTTTAATATTTAGTGTTATAGCCCACGGTTAAAATAATGAAAAATTAGTCTCGTTTCAGAAATTATTTATTTATGGAACGAACATGATTAAAACATAAACACACACACAAGCTGCAGCTGCAACAGAAAAAAACTTGATTTATGGTTATTAAATCTTTGATCGCCATGTTAATGTTTCTTTTTCTACCCTTTCATTTGCATTTTAATCTATCGAATCTTTACAATTTTGCTGCCTCCTATTTCAATGATTGATTACAGATCTGAAATAAGAAAAACCAAGCCTAGCTTTTCTTTTCCTTTCTTCGCTTTTTTTTCTTTTTCTTTCTTTCTTTCTTTTCTTTTTTTTTTTTTCTCTCTTTCCCCCTGGGTAGATTTCTGAAACTTTCTCTCAATGCTAATGTAGACAGGACAGATTAATTCTGCTCTTTTAAATGTCAAAGATATAAATAAAAAATGTTTTCTGTCCCAAACGTGAATATTTTCTCAGCCGCTTGTTTTCGAGCCAGAAAAGATCATCCCAGCAAAACACAATTAACAGAGAAACACACACACATACACACCCACGCGCGCACAAACACTGGGCGGCGGCGTGGATTTTTTTAAAGAACCTGTTTTTACTGAGTTAAAGAAAGGTGAGAAGTTCACCGTCCCTTCATCATCAGTATCCTCACCACGGCTTTCTTTCTCTCCTCTCTCTCCTGCACACACACACACACACACACACACACACACACACACTCTCTCTCTCTCTCTCTCTCTCTCTCACTCGGGGGTTTGGTCCCGAGTTCTATCTGTGATCTATGTCACACAAACAAACAAAAACAAGCTAGGTGGGGGCTTGCTGTTAAGTTGATTTCTGGAGACAAACAGTGTAAAGACAAAAGGGGAAGCGACGCAGGTCTGTTTGTTTTCCTTCCCCGCCTAGCCACGGCCCCTCGCCCCTTTCTCCCCCCGCACCTCCCCCACGCCCTCCCCACCGCTCCCTCTCCGCGGATAAGACGGTCCTTTGCCGACCGCCTTGCGGGTCCGCGTCACTCTTCGCGCTGGCGTGAAAGCGAGCGTGGGGCAGGTTTTGGGAAGCGCCGGCTGCAGGTCGGCCGGGCTCCTTCTCCCTGCGGGGCTGAGGGCCCCTGGGGCTCGGCGGGGCTCCGGCCCCAAGCAGATTGCGCCTCCCGCCTGGCTGGAGGTCGGGGCTGGACTGCAGCCGCGCAGCTAACAGTTGCGCACCGGAGGCGAGCCCCAGGTGTGCGATCAGAGACTCTCTAGACCACCCGCCGGTCCCGAATCTGAAAGGAATCCCCCCACCCCACCACCTCCGCGTCTGACCCCCGCACGAGTCCCGTTCCTAGGGGTTTTGATGCCCGCAGACGCAGGGGAGCCCGCACTTGAGTGAGAACCGACTTCTCAGGCGGGTCCAGGCTGCTCGCGCTCGCGTCCGCGGGTGGCGCGCTGTGGCCGGGTGGAAGGCGCGCCGGGAGAGTCGGAGGGGGTGGGACCCCCTAAAATTCCCCCCATGGGCACACGCACAATCAAGAATTGGGGTAAGGGCCGTGGGAGGTAGAACTCCCCAAGGCAATCTCTCCAACTCGGCCTTTGGACTCGGTGCGCACCCAAGGGTGTGCCTGCGGCCAGGGCGCAGACCACCTTCCCTGCGCCGGGTCACCCGGGGTCTGTGTCGCTCCCTCTCTCCCAGCGCCCCCAAGGCTGGCCGCCGCGAGGGGAGCGGTCTTCATTAACGTGGACGCACAAAGCGGTTAAAATGGAGAGGAGGAAAAAAGATATTTGATACCGGCCGACCCTTTGTCTTGAAGCAGATTAGGCAGCCTAGAAATAGGAGGAAAAACAGAAAGTCTAGACAGGAAAACTTATTGTGTTCACAAAATATAAAAATGATCCGAGCGGTCTGGTACCTCAAGGGGTGAAGATAGATCCTTGTAGACGAGTGGGAAGACACGACTGAGAAGATTTAAAGTGAAAGAAACGGCAGATTATTAAGAAAGTAATAGTAAGGTGTCCCATACACTACAGTTTTATTGTTGGGTAGTAACTACCCGATTTATTTATTGCCGGGGCTATATAATAGAGATAATGACCACAAACTCAAGATAAATTCTTAGGCGCCCAGCCGGTCAATTCTTTTTTATTTAAGAGAGCGAGTCTGAGAGGTGAGTCTCATCTCCTCCCCTCCTCGAAGATCCGTCTTGCTTTCTACCGTATTATAAGCATGACATGCAAATAAATAAGTGCTGCTGGGTCTGTGTGGGTAGGCCTGCAGGATTTATTTCAGGTGAGGGAGGAACATACACGGAATATGAATTTCCGCAGGAGCTGCGCAGTGATTCCTTCCCCCTCTCGGCCGCCCTCTCCTCGGGGGCTCCCTCCCTTTCTGTGGGAGCAGAGAGCGTCCCCTGACAAAAACATTAACGCGCCGCGTCTCAACTCCCTATTCCTTGACGTATTGGGCTGGGGAGGGATGGGGGGCCACGCACAACGCAAAACGCGTCCCCAAAGCAGGGTGACTTGCTTAAAGGGATTCCGCCGACAAAAGGAAGGGCGAGTTGTAATCATGACCTCCAGTGGGGGAGCAGCATAGGAAGTATGTTGATATCATTTCGAAATACGCAAAATGGTCCAAAAGTTTGCTGACCCTGATCTGGTATAGGCCCCTCACTAGCGGGGGAGATTCAAAGGGGAGCCTCCTAGCTTCTTGGGACCTTCCTTCCCGCCTTTCTTGGACCTCAGTGTATCTTCCTAGGAGCCAGGTAAACACTCCTATAGTCAGGTGACGGAATTAAAGATGACTTTGCTCTTTGCCCGCCAAGGTCTGAGGGGAGCGGGCGGCCCCAGGTGTAGGCGCCACCTGAAGCTACGGCTGCAGTGTCAGCCACCCGGTTGGCCGCTAACTAGGCGGCCTCGGGAGCTGCTCTCTCCCCACCTGCGCTCTGGGACAACTCAGGCAGACCCAGAGCCTGCCAAGATGCAGCCAGCATCCTCTTCCGATGTTCTTTTTTTTTTTTTCTTCCTCATTTTTTGGGTAATATTCAGACATATAGTGTTGTAATTTCACAATAACCACTTATATTCAGGACTTCCTTTGATCTATGTTTGGACAGACGGAGAAAAACAAAAAACAAAACACACCTGACAGTGAACTGCCATGAAAAAGAGAGAGGCGCAGGGGCAATGGGAGAGACGGAGGTGTGGGGCAAGGAGAAAGAGGGGTGTGTGTGTGTGTGTGTGTGTGTGTGTGTGAGTGTGTGTGCGTGTGCGTGTGTGTGTGTGTGTGTGTGTGTGTGTGTGTGGTGGGGGGTTGATAGAGACTTAAAGACAGCAAGAAGTAGAAGCTGTGGGCGCAGGGACGGAAAAGGTAAGGCGAGAAAGCAAAGGGCAGCTGCGAGCGGGAAGAGAAGAGGCTTTTCCTGTAATTTGGTGGTTTGTATGAGGGATGATATTATGAGGCTGAAAGAGAGGACAGTCCTCGTCAATCTTTTACAATATTGGTGTCATTCAAGCACAACTTTATCTTTGAACCAGATTATCTGTTCCAATGATTTCCATAAGAACATAAATTATAATCTTCTGAGCCTTCAATATTTCTTTCGGTACTTTATTAAGTGTTATTGCAGAGGCCATTTATGAAGTGAATGATTCAACTTTTAATCTTTTGAACATTAAAGTGTATTCCACCAAGTTTCCTTTTCAAAATAATCTAAAATAACAAAAAGAAACTAAGCTCATTACATGAAAAAGTGACAAGCCTGCCTGCTCTCAGCCTGGCAAGTTGCCTTACTCACTTCAAAGGATGATAAACTAATTGTTTCCAGAGTTTATAAGTAATTAAGCTATTATGCGGGGAATTTATGTAACAGTTTTATTAGTGTTGGAACTTTCTATTTAAAATAGCCAGAGACAAGTCTTCAGAAATACCAAGATTTTAATAATTAAAAAGTCTTCTCATTATTGTTAATAATGAAAACTGTTTTTATTTTAAAACACATTGGAAAATGTAAACAAATATAGTTTTTTTCCTGAGTATGTGGTAAGTGGAGGTCATTATGGATAATTAATGCTGAAAGGAAAATGAGCATGTGATGGCTTCCAAAAATTAAAACATCTGTAACTATCAAGTTAACTTTTAAAAAGTTAATTTTTTAATCAGTCAGCTGGATTTATCTGAATGTGTCAGGCAGGAAAATATGTATCCACTGTCCTTTTAGGATTCTATATGGAAAGTTAAAAACCTTAAGTAATTTTAGCATTTTCAAACCAACTTTTGGTGCCTAGA